ATATCATGCGATAATTGAAATTTGACCATATGGTCTATATGCAACGATGGTATCATCAAGCACATGCTAACAATAATCAAGTCTTGGTCGAATACACTAATATATAAAATGGGATGGCTGTGCGATTTAAATTGGATTTCCAAAGCACCACTCGTGCACACTGTTATAAAATTTTCATTTATTAAGGGGACCATGTTATATATATATAAGACGTAGTGGTAACCATGTTTGCAAGTATAGCTACAAACGTGAAGTGATCAGTCATTAGACAGGCTAGCTGGTGGCATCCGAGGAGACTAAGCACCTTGCTAATCGAATCTACGACATTAATACGACTCCAGTTCCAACCTCTTGATTTGCTTATTGTACAAGTTGTAACGATGTCTTCGCTATTGATATTTGGACGAAAGTCCACCCTTATGATTCGGCCATACCTAGTGAAAGGATCGTTGCTCGATGAATAAAAGTTACTCAAAGTTATGTTGATCTTCCTCAAGAGTTCAAGGTTTGGGTCCCTTAATGTCGACTCTTTCGCCTCCTGAAGCTGCAGTATGATTCAAGAATTAGGTTGTTCGCCTATTAAAATAGTGCCCACATGGTTAAAGGCATTATTCTAAATCGAGAAGTATAGATAGATTTCAAGGTTGAAGTTAAATTAAGCAGTTGTCTAAATTGTATTACAAACGAATGTCAAAAGTGCTATACTACATTTGATCAAATCCAAATCTTTCCTTCATACTTCACCATCCAAATGGAGCTTCATAAAGTGTCCAACATTTATAAGTTATAACCATATGTTTTTTAGACCTGGCTGGTACATGCATAAACAGGTTTTGTTTATTTACCTATGCGGTAAATGTAGCATTACTCTAAAAATTAATATTTTTTAACATGAAATACCTAGAGTAAGAGACCAAAACTCCTCGTTAATGCTTTAGACTTAATCAGAATACCATCCCCATGATAATCTTGAGAACAAATAAATCTAAAACTGTTATGCACAATAATGTAACCAAGAATAGCTCATATGATCTGTTACCACATTCAAACTGAGAAAACAAGTACCCGGCATAATTACAATTGTTTACTCCTTCATGGTTCAGTCAAAGAACAAATTTATTGTAATTACAGCTCTTTTATTCTACAGAAAAGAAAATTTGCTAAACATGTAGACAACTACAACATGGAGTCCTTCAGAAGACAGACAAAGAGGATCCAGAAAAAAGATATGTAGTGAACAATATATATAAAATAGCTCTCCATGTATAAACATTGCAGTTTACATTCATGGAACCCTTCTGTGTTATAAATTAATTAATTAATCATTTTAATGGGTTATATAAATATACAGTTATATATCTGTCTGTTGCAGGGGAGAAACAAAGCAACTATATTTCGTGCTGAAGATCTCTTCCCGTCGCTATCGAACACGATTTATTTATTTTTATTTTTATGCTTTTGCGTCAATCGGGATGTTAGGGCATTGTAGGTGGACGCACTGTCAAATCTCAGAACATTGCATTTCATGATCCTTACAGGTGAAACCAATTAGGGTTTTGGATAAGTAATGTTTTCTTTTGGTATATATTACTCGCAGCTCGTGAATTTAGGTTGTAGCTTATGGAGTATGACGATAGCCAGCTGCTTATTCTAGTTTAACGTGATTCAGATTTGTTTAAACTTTGATATGCTAGCTTAAACCATTTTTTACGCCAGTTTTTAATAAATAAAACAAGGTTATTAGAGCTAGGTTTGTTAATTAATAAGAAACTTTACGAAGGCTCGTATCTCAATACTACCAATTGGTTGATAATGGTGGAACTTCAATTTTTTCCATGGTATCAGAATAAATTGACTTACTTGTGAAGCTAACGACCAAATTTCACTGGAAAATTGGGAGCCCCTAAAATCTAATGAAATGTTTTTAGGGAGCGCTAAACCCTAATGAAAATTTTCTTGCAAGGTGTGAAAAGTTGACCTTAGATACGACAGTACTGAGAATTTGAATTATATTTTCCCTGTTATACTCCTCGTTGTTTGTACTTTATAACAATGCATGAAACATTGACAATATGACATAAGTTTTTTTAAAAGAAAAAATGCAAAAACATTGTGGTTGAGAGAATTGCTTTTGCTGCCTTTTAATTTCAAAATTACACTACTAAGAAATTGACTAGCAACTATAAAAAATCTTATGGTAAAGATTGCATTGACTTTATTGAAATTATCTCTAGAAATCTCAAATGTGTTAGACGTTAGACAAAAGTATCAAAATTTTAACGAACTTGTCCATATATTAAAATATCTCTGAAATTTTAGAAAGGTATTCAAATTTTTAAACAAAATATTGTAGACCAACTGATGTTGTTGATAATTGAATTATTACTTATGCGTTAATCAACGTACTTATTTCCTATTAGTTTGGCTATCATTACCCTTTCAGAAATATCCTAGAAAGATATTTGCTTAGGGGTGTGCTATCCAAAAACCCATTTTACTTCTTACACATTCGTTGTTAATTTCTATCATTTGATCTTCTTTAATTCAGTCAATCTAACGATCGCAAATTAAGAGATTATGTATAAAGTAAAAAATGGTGTGTGGATAATACACACTTTTCATTTCGTTTATCAACATTCCATTTTACATATATATCAATAGATATTTTATTAATATGTATTTTTACAAACGATGGAATAATATACAATAAATTCATCTAACCTACATAGAGGAAGAATCAAACAAAGAAAATTAGGTGCAAAACAAATTCTTTAACCAGCTGAGGTACAAGTCACTTACAAATATTTCAATATATAAGAGATACTTAATTCTTTGTGTACACCTATAAACCGAGAGATTTTTCACTATGCGATCCCGTACACTAAGTATAATAATACAATTTATTAAAAATCTTGAAAAATAAATTTAAACTGTTATGAAATTTGATGTACCAAACCGTGTTCACGTCACATTAAAAACTATCTTCTATGAATCAGCCCGAGCAGGTTCTAGACAGTCATTGGCCAGTACGTGTAATTAGCTTGATCCAGCTGGAACCCGAAGGCACTGCTTTAAATTCACACCGCATCTTAATTACCAACTTAAATGCTTATTACTAAGACGAGATAAGCCTTCGCCCAGGTCACCTCACGAGCTTCGTGTAAGACTGGGAGGGCGCGTGTTGTCACGTTTCGCCCCACATCGGATTCCAGCTGACTGCTAGTTGGGTCAGACTCCACGCTTCCCGATAGACATTCAAGTATGCGTCCAGCCTGGAATCCCAACGTTTATCTTCAAAGTGAGTTTACAATTCTACCCACCGAATATTCGGGGTCAGTCCGTTTGACCAAGGGTGTGATGGTCAATTAGGTGGTAGTGCAATCTGTAGCTAGGCTGTAAATGTTTTTTGTCTTGTAGTAGGAAAGAGGATTATAATTACTTTCATAAGGGATGGGCCCTACCCCCATACTAACGTTTCTTCCGGTTTAGGCGTTGGCTGTAAAGACACGTTTCCTTTTTACCCCAAGGGTAATGACAGATCTCCACTCTCACTGTGTCACTCCCTGCCTCCCCATACACGGCCAGAAATCCAATGCTAGATTATTATTAGTTTTTTTAATTATTGCGATTGCCACTTACTATTATGATTTTAATTTAAAGAATTATTATTAGTATTTCAAAATTTTCATTTTATATTTCAAACTTTTTTATATTTAGAAGCAAAAATATAATGTATAATAAAATTTTTAAAGTGCTAATAATATTTCTCTTAATTTAATAGTATTTTTTTTATTTGCAAATAGGAGGTAATAAGTTTGATTCTTATCAAAAGCGAATTTAAACTACATTATTATTAGTTGATTGTATAGCCTATCTCACTTTCTCACCCAGTAATTTAAATAATATTCATTTTTCAAAAAAAATAGTTGTAGTGAGCTTTCTATTACTACATTAAAATAATGGTTTATTCTAAATATAAATATAAAATTTTAAATTCGCTTCTTATAAATAGAAAGTCCAAATATTAATTTACTATAGTTAAGTTATCGTGCATTATTTTGCAATTCTCTGAAATGAACTAACATCTACCAATATAATTGTTTAGTATGTCAAAATAATTAAGACAATATCAAATGAAGTAACATCTACCAATATAGTATATACTGAAAAAGGAGGATTGGTTTTTTTTTCATTATATACTTGTATTTTTCATCGATTAAGGGAAAAAAATGAGAGAACAATAAGTAAGGGCATGTTTGGTAGTGTACTTGAATTCAACTTTTTAAATTCAAAAACAATTTTCATGTTTTAGGCTTTAAAAACTTGTTTGGTATGATAATTTTTAAAATCTGAATTTAAGACTAACTTAAAAATATAGTTTATTCTTTAAAAAGATAAAAAGTGAGTTTTTAGAGTTTTTAAACTTAAAATCAATCATTTCTTTTCTCTCATTCCTCCCCTCTCACTCCAAATATATCTCTCTCTTTTCTTCTTTCTTTCTCCTTTTTTTTTTCTTTTTTTTTTACCTTTTTCGTCTGCTCCAATCCAATTAAATTTTTGAATCTTAAAAAAAATTATTTTTAAGAAATATTTTGAAAAATGATAAAAAAATTTCAAATAAAATACCAAATAGTAAGTTTTTAAAATTTGTCCCAAATAAAGGGGTACGATTCGTTGTTGGAGCGTGGAAACAAATGCATGGTGAAAGCGTGAGGTGAGCAGGTTTGAGATAATAAAGAAACGCGCTAGCGATTATTAGCATTCGGTCACTTTTCCATCCCTACCGCCTGCCCAAACCCCTCAAGTCGTGAATGAGAAGCCATCTCTCTCTCTCTCTCTCTCTCTCTCTCTAAATAGTACTCTGTATTTGTATTTACTGTCTCTATTTCTCAACACCTTCCCACATTCAATATACCCCACCCCCACGACCCCGCACTTTTTCAATTTTTAATCCAAAAATTTGAACCTCCTCCTCACCTCTATATAAACAGCCTGCCCACCCCTCTTATTCCACACCTATATCTCAACCCCTCCCAGCAATTATCTGAAAAACCTCTCTAAAATCTAGTCTTTTTTTAGAGAAAAGAAAAAAAGGAAAAGAAAACATGGGTTTGAATTCTCGTCAGTGGCTTATGAAGCTGTTTGTTGTGGCCACCTTGTTCCAAGTTTCATTCGGTTCCAGCAGGTTGTTCCAAGTCTCGTTGGCGACAAGGAAGCTAAGCGAGCTTGTCCAAGACCAAACCCAGCTCCTCAAATACCACAACGGCCCTCTCCTCTCCGGTAAAATTACCATCAACCTCATCTGGTACGGTAACTTTAAGCCCTCCCAGAAAGCCATTGTTTCCGATTTCATCTCCTCCTTGTCCTCCTCCTCCCCTTCCAACACCCCCCAACCCTCCGTGGCCGCCTGGTGGAAGACCACCGAGAAATACTACCACCTCACCTCCAACAAAAAGTCCTCCAACTCCCTCTCCCTCTCTCTGGGGAGACAGATTCTCGACCAAGGCTACTCCCTCGGCAAATCCCTCACCACCAAACAGATTGTCGCATTGGCCGCAAAGGGTGACCAAAAGAACGCCATCAACGTTGTCCTGACATCCGCCGACGTGGCTGTCGATGGCTTCTGTATGAACCGGTGCGGTACCCACGGGTCTGCCTCCGCCTCTTCCAAAACCAGACACATCAAGGGCGCCAAGAACTATAAGTTCGCTTTCATTTGGGTTGGAAACTCGGAGACCCAATGCCCGGGGCAGTGCGCGTGGCCATTCCACCAGCCCATCTATGGACCCCAAAGCCCACCCCTTGTGGCCCCCAACAACGACGTGGGCCTCGACGGCATGGTCATCAACCTCGCTAGCCTTCTGGCCGGGACAGCCACCAACCCATTCGGAAATGGATACTTCCAGGGCCCGGCCGAGGCACCACTAGAAGCTTCCTCGGCCTGCCCTGGGGTTTACGGGAAGGGAGCTTATCCTGGTTATGCCGGGGACTTGCTGCAGGACCCCACCACCGGTGCCAGCTACAATGCCAATGGTGCTAATGGAAGGAAGTACTTGCTTCCTGCACTATATAATCCTGCAACTTCATCTTGCTTTACTTTGGTTTGAAACATTAGAAGGGCTAATGTATAAGCCTAATTAGGTGTTAGATATATTCATTGATTTGTTCAAATTTTCTTTTGGTTATGCGGATTGTAATGATATAAAAATAGCAAATTGCTTCGATTTGCATAAGAAATTATTCTGCCTTCAGTTCTAGCTGATTTTTACGCACTTTTTTTAATATTTTAACATGCTCTTTTTAACGTGTATTAAATTTGTGAGAAATTAAGAAGAACGTGTGCTTGTCTTTTACTTATCTAAATTAATCTAATTAGATTGATGGTTTCTGGCAGAGGAAAAAGTTGAAGTAATGGTAGGTGAGCTTTTGAAAAGCTGAAAACCTCGAACGAGCTTACTAGTTGTGTCTGAGTGTAGAGCTAGAATGGATGTGTGTTTGCCCTTCCACATCTTTTGCCATACCAATTTTCATACCAACCGTTTCGTTTTGCATGATAAAACTTGAATGCTAAAATGAAAAATCTTTAACAATGTTTCTTTTTTTCTTTTTTTGTGTCAACTAACTAGCACATGGGATAAAATAATGAGCGAGTTCCACATTTTATGGCTAGTTTGATAATTTGTTATTTGATTTTTTTCATTTCATTTAATTTAATGACTAAAAATTGAAAAGAAAGTGAGGTAAAAAAGATCGTGTGTACAGCATCATCCTATAATTATAATGAACTATTTGAACATGTAAGAATTAAAAAACATGCCAAAGTCCATCGGTTTGAGTGTGTCTTATAGTGACATTATCGATAATTTACAACGGCGTTAATACTCTTAGGGGGCGTTTGTTGCGCCGGACTATCTCGGACTGGATTAGCTTCAAGGACTAAGCTGGATTGGCTTAGACTAGACTAAATTGGACTAACTTAGTGAAGCGTTTGGTGCAGTATTGGACTAAGAAGCTGGATAATAACAAATTCTAATATTATATTATTTAATATATAAATTATTAATATTTTATTATGATCTTATCTTTTTTTTCATCTTTCCTACCATTTCCGTCCCACTCTTTTCCTCTTCTCTCATTGTCCCACCCTCTCCCTTTTTTTTTTTTCCTCTTAGACCTCTCAATTCATGTCTCTTTCTCATTCCTGGTCAAACTCCTTATTGATTCCAATCTCTATTTCTCTGTCCTCCCTCCCTCTCTAGCAATGCGTTGTTCGAATGGAACCTCACGGCTCCAATTTTCCCGACGAGTTGCAGGTTTCCCGCCCCGAAAGGCATACGAGTGCGCCTCTCGTAGACGAATACCGACTCAGTCCGCTCCTACTGCGCGGAAGTCTCAGCCGGTCGGTGCGCCCCGCCTTTATTCATCTATACCAGCTGCCACACACGACCCGACAGGAACGATTTCAGCGCCTCTCTCTAGATAAGAAGCGGAACGCGCCATCACCTACAGCCCTTTCCTCTGCCGGGGGCTTCCACGAAATGAAAACGGGCGGCATTGTCGTATGCTCGACATTTGGATGTGTTTTCCGGCCAACCCTTGTTAAATTGGATGAAGTTAGCACCGCCAAAAAATTCATCACCATCCCTAGACCGAGATCTTAGCTTTGAATGCTCAAATCTGTCATGGATTTGAAGAAGCCCAAACAGGCCGAGACTTCCAGGCCATTTTTCGGCCACATTCGACCACATTTTGGCCTCGATTCAGGTAAAATTGTAATCTTGTCACTCCCAGCTTCAATTTGGTATATTTTATATGAAAGTTGGTTGTGAAATGGATTTGAAAGAGAGTCAGAAAGTTAATGATTGATCTAGGTGACCGGAGATGATGAGGAGTTTGTCGGGAGTGGTCATTGAGCATGACGAGGACAAGAAAGAGAGGATAGTCTTAGCTAGTCCCATGGTTATTGGGGGGTCTCGCTAAGACCTCTTAGTGAAGGGTTTTGTCCATGCTAGTCCCCTTTAGTCTCATTAATGTTAGTCTCAGCATGGAACAAACACAGTATTGGACTAATAGCTAGTCCAGTCCAGTCCAGTCCAACTTAGTAAGGGCAAACAAACGCCCCCTTATCTTCCTTCCAACACATCATGTGAGGTGTGAAAAATGAAGCAAAGAGGTAAGTCTAATTTTCAAGGACATGTAATGATGAACATGAGTATTTTAGGTGATCTTATCCCCACATATTTTATCATTGTATGTTATACATCTACTCTTTAATAATCATTAGATATGCGCCCAAAAAGAAGAGTTTTATTTTTAATAAGGATGTATTCATACTAAAATATGAAGAATAATTGATATCAAACTTATCATTCACGATATTCGAATATAAAACCTTTAATTTATAAGTAAAAAAGATTATTACTAGATAGTAATAATACTAAGTGGAAAAAAACAAATATTTTTAAAAATTTTGAATACTTAAAACCCCCACAATTTTTTAGTGTCATTCCAAATTAGTCTCAACCTTTTTAAATTTTCAAACAAGTACCCAATCTATTAAAAATGTCACGTCCATTAAGCTTCAATTTATTTGTGAATTTGTTTAGTTATATATTTTTAATATATTCATGTATGTATTATTTAACTGAAAATTAACTGGAGCTTAACTGTTGTTACATTTTCATTAAATTGTGTATTTATTTGGAATGTTTAAAATGATTGAGGTCAATTTAGAATGACACAAGAAAGTTGAGAGGTTTTAGGTGCTTAATCTTTAATTAAACATATTAGCGAAACCAAGGACTGATCTAAATCCAAAGCCAAATTAGGAGTTAGATATATTCATTGATTTGTTCGACTTCGATTTGAAACATCAGTGGGACTAATGTATAAGCCTAATCAGGAGTTAAATATATTCATTGATTTGTTCAATTTTCTTTTGGTTGTGAGGATAATAAGGATTGTGCTATCCACATTTTTTTTTAACCTTCCACATATTTGTTGGTAATTTTAATCGCTTGATTTTCTTCAATTCATTTGATTCGGCATCAAAATTTAAGAGATGTGTGTAAAATATAAATGAAATGTCTGAATAGCACCATTGGATTAAATGCAAATTGTTCCCATTTGAATCAGAAAATGTTGTGCCTGCTTGAGCTTTGCCATTTTCTAAAGCAAGCTGATTTTTACATTTTTTTTTTTTAACACTGGTTTTTGATAATTTTTTCATCATTAATTTAAATAAAAATAACGAACTGTATTGGGAATTTGATGATTTCTGGCAAAAGAAAAAAGTTGGATTAATGTTAGGTGAGCTTTTGAAAAGCTGAAAACCTCGAGCGAGCATTACCATTCATGGAAAAGATAAATAAAATAAAGAATCGAGCTTTACCATGTGTGTCTAATAATTTATAGCTAAGGCAATTGTGTTCCACAATCTTTGTGGCATACCACTTGTTCACATCTAGAGATTTTTCTATGCGAAAAACACAAGGCTCAGTTTACTAATTGTAATAATACAATTGGTTGAAAAAATTTAAAAATATCTTCTAACTAATTGTATTCAGATATTTAGTATATTGGCCTCTGTCAAATTGAAAATTTCTCATTCAAATCAACCAATTCATTTTACATGTTGATAAAGCATGATTTTGGAAAGGTTTTTTTTTTTTTTTTTTTCCTAAACAAACAATATTATCTACACTAAGAAAATGAGATTGGTTTAACATCACAATAGGCTAGTAGCAATGTGATTCAAATTCACTTTTGGTTTGAATTGAACCCAAGTCCTCTCATTTACAAGTGAAGAGGAATACCACTAAACTGTAATACTAAATGGCTAATTATTGAATGTCAAATTATTGCAATTGCATTTTTTGTGTGTATTAATACGTGGAATAAAATAAGAAAAATGTTACGAAAACTCTCTCAAAAGTGCAACACTCCATAGACTATATTTTACCTTACAGTTTAACGTCAATTATCATGCTAACATTATAAAACATTATGCCAAAATATGAGGCAGTACAGAGTCCATGAAGAGTTTCACTTTTGAGAAAGTCTCCTTAGAGTATCTCTAAAGAAGATGTCAAAATGTCCCAAATCAACAATAACAGTAAGAAAAGACAGCAGTAATGTTTTCCAACTGAGAAGCCAAATCTGATGTAGCATGACATGGAATGATATCTTTCCCTTTTGCTGCCAAAGTTGATAGCACTTTCAAATTTTTTTAATATTTGACATATTGGGTGGAGGCAAAACTTTAAAATATGTCAAAGTGTCACATGAGCTGTCAAAATTAAATTTTATGTTTATATTTGGCATCTCCTTTGGAGATGGTCTTAACATTTATTATAAATAAAATGATTTTTGTGTAAGAGAAATACTAAGGGGAGTGAGACTCTCCATGGACTCCCTCGCATTTAACAGTTTAACGTTAATTATTGTGCTAATATGATAAATATTGTGCCAAAAACAAGAGGTGTCAGAAAGTATGGAAAATCTCACCTTTAACTTTAAGAGAGTTCCCATAGCATTTTTTGTCAGAAAGTATGGAAAATCTCACATTTAAGAGAGTTCCCAGAGCATTGTTCTTTGCAGTATGACTCTAATTTAGCACTCGAACAGTTACGATGTAAAAAAACTTGCTAATGGATTTAGACCATCACCAAAGAAGATGTAAAAAATGCCAGATAGGCATATAACAGTAATAAATGACGTATCATTTACTCCAATCGAAATGTCAAATATGACATGGAAAATAAGGCTAAGTTGACATGGACAAAGAGATGTCAAATTTGAAGCTGCCGTCAAATATGATTTTTACTATTTCCAAAGACATCCCACTTGCCTTACCTTAAATGCTAGTATATTTAAGTATTATTTTATTATTTTTAAATTAACAACCAACTTTTATTATTTTTGTTTAAAAAAACATAAATAAAACTATAAATTTTGACATATCAGAAGAAAGGACAATATGTCAAATTACTAAATTAGCTATTAAATTAAAATTTGATGTTTTAAATCTTACGTTTCTTTTTAAAGATGCTCTTGGTCTCCTTATCTAAAAATATTTACCTACATTAGAGCAACTCCACCGGAGGTGGACTTACCCAGCACTAAGTCCAAAAAACAGCCAGGCACCCTGTCCATTGCCTCCAGCCCGCAAAACAGCCTGGCACCCAGCCTAAGCCAGGCAGCAGGCCAGCCCATTTCGGACAGACCCAAAAGCCTGTCCAACAGGCTGGCGCGTGCA